ACTTGCCATAAAGGTTGCTTGCTTGCCTATACAGACTCAAATTTTAGAGAGTTACGAGCCAACTTTGACCGCTTGTATTTATAAACATAAGTCCATATTATACGTAAAAAATGTAAAACGTGTTTTTGTTGCTGCGGAGTGCTTTTTTAATTTAAGTAATTTTGTGATTGCTGTCGTGTTTATTGAGGTACGTATCGTATGTTACTATTATTTTATGACCAGATTAAAATAGATTGAGTTGTGCTGAGTAGTTTTTTTTTCTACAATTGGAGTTTTTTCTATACCATGAGCTAAATGTGACAGAGTTGAACCAAGGAGTTTGTTTGTAAAACGGAAGATGTTATAACAATGCGTCTATTATATCACGCTATTGTATATCGCCTTTGATATCATAGTTATGTTCATGAGCTATGTGTAGGTCTTACAGAAGATATCGATCATTTAATTTATCCGAATGTTATCAGAAATAATTTTCTGAGCACTATAAAATAAAAAAAATATTAATGTGATTAAAAATATTTTTGATACTGACCAAAGATTTATTAGATATTATTTAATAGTTTTAAGAAAGTTAATAAAGGCTGATTACTACAAAGATTATATATTGATAGTAATAATATTACACTAACATAATATTTTATACACTATTCCAATTACGAAGTCCCTTTTGACACTTCTTAGAACGTAACTCTTCACGTTTCGCATAATTTGAAATAATAATCATTTTTGTTCATGGACGTAAATCATCATTTAAAAATACACAATCAATCTAAATCATTATACAATTAATTCACACACATAATCAACATATTTTTAGATATCGTGCTCAAAATAATTAAAACTTTAAAAGATAATAATATTTTACTGCCATTTTGCGTTTAAGTTCTATAGTTTTATTTTTACTTTTTTACATAGTGACGTGACTAAAAGAATCGTATAAAATCGATTATAGACAGATTTATTTCGCGAGTGAAAATCTCTCAACCCTGCGTCCACCTCGTGATCACGACCGCCATTTTGTTTATCTCTTCAGTACGAGTGCAGAAGCCTTGTATACGATACGCGTGTTCAGTTTAGTTGATTTTGTGTTGTGTTTTTATTTCGTTCTTGTTATTGTAGTTATAACTGTTTGATAATTCTTTCGTTGTTATTAAGTTTTGACTGTAATTTGATTTGGTTTTCTTTTGCATTTATAAACACTAGGGCTGAAACTGAGACCACTAAAAGAATAGTGATGCGCAGTCAAGCGCGAGAGTTTGTAGTACGCCTACAAGATTACTTTGAAAGAGAGTACCAGAATGGTGGTCCATTGTTGCCACTTTCACAAGTGACTAACCGAGTAAATGCAGCTCTTGGTATTAGTCAAATAACTGTTTCCCGAATAAGTAAGGAAAAACATGGTAAATATTTAATGGAAGATAGCAAATTAAAATCGCCACTTAAGAAATAAGTTAGAAGATCGATAGTTACACATATCGACAATTTTGATAACGAAGCCATTATAAAACATATGTATGACTACTATAATAGGAACAAATTGCCGACTCTACATAAATTGTCAAATATTTTACGAGAATCTGGACTATTTTACGACAGTAGAAGTTCTTTCTGGAGGGTTTTAAAAAATGTTGGCTTTTCTTATAAAAATGTGATAAAAGGCGGATTTTGATGGAATGTAGAGATATAGCTTTAGCCAGATTTAATTTTCTAAGATCAGCAAAGCCCATTGCCGTTTGGAAAAATGTTATATTTCTAGATGAGACGTGGCTAAATGCTAATCATACAGGTGGCAAGATATGGACAGACGACACTCCTCATTCCTCCACGAAAGTATCTAGTGTCAAAGGCGAACGCTTAATTATTTGTCATGCGGGGTCCATGAAGGGATTTGATACGAACTGCCTCTTGGCGTTTAAATCTAAGAAAACTGTGGAATACCACGAAGAGATGAATTTTGTTAAATTTAAGGAATGGTTTTGTACCTTATTAACCAACTTGAATGAGCCATCGACGATTATTATGGATAATGCACCGTGTTATTTAGTACAAATAAGTAAGCCTCCAACTTCTAGCAGCAAAAAAGCCAATATTGTGAAATGGCTGAATGACAATAATATTGTTACTGACATGTCCATGTTAAAAGTTGAGCCGCTGCATTTGGTTGCTATAAATAAGCCAGCTAGACCAAAATACGTATTGGGCGAAATGGCTAAGGAAACCGGACACAATGTAATGCGCCATCCACTCTACCATTGTCAATGCAATGCTATAGAATTGATTTGGGCGCAAATTAAAGGCAAGAATTTAAACAAATCTTTTTTATAATTTATTTTTACCTATTTTAACATTTTATCTGTTGCTTTATTAACACGCAAACCTTTATTTTAGGTTATGGGGCTCGTAAAAATACCAACCCACCGTTTACTGCAAACAAATTGCTGTCATTGTTGCAAGAAGCTTGTGATATTGTTACTGCCGCGAATTGGGATAGTGTGGTTTAAAAAAAAATTTAAAAAATTTGATTTTCGCTGATTGGGACAGAGACATACATATCAATGCCGTCATAAATAACCAAATTATAATAAATACAGGGGATTCTACATACGATGATGAGGGTGATGACGACGATGTTGACCATGAAATATCGATTTCGGCAAGTGACGATGAATATGTTCCATCTTGATAAAAATATCATGTAATATTATCTAATTAAAATTAAAAAACAGTTTTATAAATTTTAATTTGATGCTAATCCTTTTTCTGTCAATACGATTTTAATTTGTTCGTTATAGTAACCGAAGATCAATATCGTCAAGTATCGACTATAGCGGTACTTTACTAGTACTTGATTATTGACATCTGTCAAATGGGACTTCGTAATTGGAACAGAGTATATCTGAGTTAATAACTAACGTTCGGTAATTTGGTTAAGGTAACGTTTATTTGAGAAAGATATTATAAATTAAAGAAGATTTTATATTGATTTACATTAATTTAGAGACTGTTAAATCATGCCAAATTATAAGAAATAAGTTTATAATAAAAAAACTAAAATTAGTAATAACATGTTTGTTTAAAAAGTTTATTGTTGTAGTTTTGTTTATTGTGGAACATTTTATTACAATTGTTATGAAAATTTGAAATTTTTTTATGATTTCCTTGCTGACAGTACTAAAATCATGTTAATTATTGCGTAAGATAGTTTAATAAAGCTATGATTCAAGCTGAAAATTATTTTTCTATTCCCAAAATAGTATTTATACTCTCCCCATATTCCGGTTCAAGTGTCCCTGCTGGTGGGGAGACTTGACTCATGTCAATTTTTTTATAAAACAGAAGATAGGCAGCAGTATCTTTGTGACAAAAACTCAAAATTATAAAAAACTGTGGTTGCATCGTCCTATAAGACAATATGTGAGGGAGGCCTATGTTCAGCAGCGAACTTTTAAGGGAAGAATATAAACGTCAATTTCTAATTATTTTAAAAATTTCACCCCGCAGTAGAATCTTATCGAGTTGTGTGTAACGTGGAGGCCTTTTTCATTCATATATCGCTCACGGAAAAACATTCAGGCACAGAAAAATTACTTGTCAGCCATACAAAAACTTTCTCCGTGCGGGATTTGAACCCACGGTCTGTGGCAACCATATATTTATGTACGATAAGGGTGACAAACGAGCACACGGTCCACCTAAAAGTAAGTTTTGCTATGGCCTATATTAGCTACATCTATCCTAGATTGCAAATCAAAAAATGCAAATGCGCTGTCACCCGTGAGGACTAAAACGTTCGGTAATTTGGTTAAGGTAACGTTTATTTGCCGTGTAGTGGCGGTTGAGAATATCCACTACCCCATATCTTCCCGTGGGTGTCGTAAGAGGCGACAGAGGGAGACAGGCAGGAGATGGGCAGCAGCATCTTCCTGATAACAGCAATGATGTAATAAAAAACTGCGGTTGCCAACCCGCTCACCAAGCGTGGCAACTATGGCAAATATGAGTATCGACGCAAACAAACGGCTCCCAGTCCCCGGCGGCCCCGCTATTCCTGGCTACGGTGGCGACCATGGTAACGGCGGGGCAGGGGGTGCTAAGAATCTCCGGTGGAGGTTCAGTTGCCACCTACGACGACTCGACCTGGCAACATGTAACGCACGCACCCTGAGGACTGACGAGAAGACACTGGAGTTGGAAGAAGAGGTTGACAAGTTGCGCTGGCATATTATTGGGTTATCCGAGGTCCGAAGAGAGAGGGAGGACAAGGTAATCCTCGAGTCCGGCAACTTGTTCTATCACCAGGAGGGCGACCATCTGTTCTGTCCCAAGGAGGTGTCGAATTTATCGTCCACAGGTCTCTCGTCAACAACGTTGTAAAGATTGGGAGTGTGTCGATGAGGGTCGCGTGATACTCAGAATCACCAAACGGTATTCGCTGAAGGTCATACAGGTTTACGCACCAACCTCGGCACATCCCGATGAGGAGGTGGAGGAAATTTATGAGGATATTTCCAGAGCCATGCATTCCTCTAAAACCCACTGCACGGTGTTGATGGGAGACTTCAACGCAAAACTAGGCACAAGAGAAAGCGGTGAGCTGAAGGTAGGGAAATTTGGAGTGGGGCAACGGAACCGTAGGGGCCAGCAGCTGGCCGACTTTACGGAGAAAGAGGGACTATTTATGATGAACTCTTTCTTCCAGAAGCGGCCCCACAGGTAGACCGGTCGAGCCCCGACGGTTCGACAAAAAATGAGATTGACTTCATTATGACGACCAGACGCCAACTGTTCAGTGATGTCTCAGTGATCGCAAGGGTGAAAACTGGCAGCGATCACCGAATGGTTAGAGGCACACTGTACCTAAACGTTAAGTTGGAGAAGTCTCGTCTAATGAAGTCAACGCTCCGTCCCCCCCTCGTGCTCTAATCCAGAATCCCGAAACTTTTCAGCTCGAGTTACGTAACCGCTTTCAGTGCCTAGAAGATTGCAATGCAGTGGACGATATGAATGACAAGCTCGTGGAAACTGTCCATGCGGTCGGAGCTAAGTTCTGCAAGACCGGCCGCAGAAGAACACAAAAGCTCTCCGATCACACTCTTAATCTCATGGCTGTTAGACGAAAGATGAGGCTGCAATCGTCAACAGATTTGACAGCATACAGGCAACTGAACAGACAGATCTCCAAATGCATGCGGCGAGACTTACGCAAATTTAATACTGCTCGTATTGAAGAAGCGATTGAGCGGAACCAGGGCTCCAAAGTCTTTGCCAGAGATCTGTCTGCCAGTAAGAGCCAACTGTCAAAACTGAAGACTGAGTGTGGCAGCATCGTTTCCGGGACACCTGAGATTCCGAGTGAGATTGAGAGGTTCTATGGGCAGCTGTACACATCATCGTTGGAGCCACACGCAAGTGTGAGTAACGATCCAAGAGCGGGTCTTATCCAACGCTATTCCGATGATATCCCGGACGTCAGTCTGAGCGAGATTAGAATGGCTCTCCAGCACCTTAAAAACGGCAAGTCCCCGTGCGAGGATGGAATTACAGCGGAGCTTCTGAAAGCGGGTGGAAAACTTGTACTTGAAGTCCTTCATAGGCTCTTTAATTCCGTCCTCCATGGTGGCACTACTCCGGAGGCGTGAAGCAGAAGTTCGGTGGTCTTGTTCTTCAAGAAAGGTGACAATACCCTCTTGAAGAACAGACCGATATCCCTTCTGAGCCGCGTCTACGTGCTGTTTTCGAAAGTCATTACGAATCGTCTCGCACGCGGACTCGACGATTTCCAGCCTCCCGAACAAGCCATACGACCATAGACCACATACATACCCTTCGGCAAATTGTACAGAAGTCCGAAGAGTACAATCTGCCACTTTGCCTGGCGTATGTGAACTATGAGAAAGCCTTTGATTTCGTCGAAATTTGGGCGGTGCTACAGTCTCTTCAGCGGTGCCAAGTTGACTGTCGGTATATCGAAGTGCTGAAGTGTTTGTACAGTAGGGCTACGATGGCTATCCGAGTACAGAACCAGAGTACGAAACCTATCCAACTACAGAGAGGTGTAAGACAGGGTGACGTTATTTCCCCGAAACTCTTCACCGCTGCATTGGAAGACGTTTTCAAGTTACACGACTGGAAAGGATACGGTATTAACATCAATGGCGAGTACATCATTCACCTTCGATTTGCCGACGATATAGTTCTTATGGCAGAATCGCTGGAGGACTTAAGCACTATGCTCAGTGACCTCAATAGTGCCTCCCAACGGTTAGGTCTTAAGATGAACATGGACAAAACAAAGATCATGTTTAATGTCCATGTCACACCTATGCCGGTAGTTGTTGGGAGCACTAAGCTCGAAGTTTTTTACGAGTACGTTTACCTGGGACAAATAGTCCGGCTAGGTAAGTCCAACTTCGAGAGGTCAATCGACGGATTCAACTCGGCTGGGCAGCGTTCGGGAAATTACAACGCATCTTCTCGTCAGGTATACCTCAAAACCTGAAAACTAAGTTGTACAACCAGTGCGTGTTGCCAGTGATGACATATGGAACTGAGACGTGGTCCTTCACTGCTGGCCGTATGAGGACGCTCAAAGTCGCTCAGCGAGCTATGGAGAGGGCTATGCTCGGAGTTTCTCTGCGTGATAAACTTAGAAATGAGGATATCCGCAGTAGAACCAGAGTGACCGACATAGCCCAACGGATTAGTAAGCTGAAGTGGCAATGGGCCGGCCATATAGCTCGAAGAACCGACAACCGTTGGGGAAAAAAGGTTCTCGAGTGGCAGCCTCGTACCGGTAGACGAAGTGTAGGGTGACCCCCCACTAGATGGAGTGACGACCTGGTAAGACATGCAGGAAGTCGATGGATGCAGGTGGCTCAGGACCGTGCTTTGTGGTATACCTTGGGGGAGGCCTATGTTCAGCAGTGGACTTGTAAAGGGCTGTAATGATGATGATGACGAACGCTTATTTGAGAATGATATTATAAATTAAAGAAGATTTTATATTGATTTACATTAATTTAGAGACTGGTAAATCATGCCAAATTATAAGAAATAAGTTAATAATAAAAAACTAAAATTAGTAATATCATGTTTGTTTAAAAAGTTTATTGTTGTAGTTTTGTTTATTGTGGAACATTTTATTACAATTGTTATGAAAATTTGTAATTTTTTATGATTTCCTTTTTAATATACGCTATAATATTACGCTGGTATTCCGCGGTCCGTCCGTAACATAAATGGTTAAAATGGAAATTAAAATTCATTTAAAGTCACTAAACTGCCTTTATCACTGATTATGGCATACAATAGTGTACGAGATAAAACATAAAATATAGGGATATATTTTTCGTAAAACTATAAACCAAAAATAATTTTCTAAAATCTTTTTTATACTTACGTCTTTTAATTTATAAGAGGTAATCTCCAAAAACTATTTACGTATTTAATCAATTTTTCGATTTAATAAGAAGCTTGCATGATTATCAGATAAAATAAAGCCTAGATCTATCTTTGTGAAGTTTACTTACAATCGGTTACAACCCATTCCGTTGGTGCCACCAGAACGAAGTCATCAACCTGCAGCGGTTTCTTGTGCCACTTAATATGATATTAGATAAAACTTCTCTTACCCACCTTTGCCAGTACATATTTGCCAAACTTTTTTCTTCAGCCTTGCGCGATTGCTTTCTCAAAAGGAAATCAATATTATCAAACTCCTTATTCATGGGAAGATTTGATGACGTACCGAGAAGAAAAAGATTGGGAGTAAGGGAATTGATACTACCTGGCTCCATCGACATTTTTCATCTCTGCCAAGAACGCTCATTAAAATGTTCAATACATATCATTCGTAGAATATATTTATTTAATTGATTACAACAATTCAACAATTACAATCATAATAAATATGTTTAAATTTTTTGCTTTTTCTTTTGTTTCAATGTTCAATATAATACAGATTCGCATTTCATCTTAAAGTATTTTAGACCACTGGCAAAAAAAATAGTTCTTGTATGAAATTTTTCGGCCTACTCAACTGGACCGTAGTTACTTTAAGTAATCTATAAGGCCTTAATGGAGTTTTTTTTGCAAATTTTATACACCAGTAAAAACAGTGAGCGTGATAATTGTACAATTAATTTAATACCCAATGGCACCATTATATTTCATTCGAGATTTTTATATTCCTCCGTCGATAGTTATCAAATTTATGTACCCTATTGGCATAATCTTTCTCTGTCTCTGTAATGCAATGATTAACGTCTACATGAGTGCGTAATGAACGCCTACAGTCACCATCCGTTTTTTATCAATCATGTTTGACAGAATTGATTGACACCTGCATGAGCGTGTAGCGTACGTCTATGGTCTCTCGCGCTGACATCAAAGTGCAAAACTCGTACAATCAACATAGATAATGAAATTAATTGCTGATAAAATAATAGATGAACTGACGTAAATGGATATGAAATATAAACTTTCCTTTGAGATAAAACAATGTACAATAAGGAATAACTATTACTCATGAACAGCGATCTGCTTTCCATACAAAAATTATAACTTTATATTTCTAGAATAAAAAGAAGTACTCTTTACGAAATTTCAGGTAACAATGAAATTTAAGTATAACATAATATCATATTAATTTAAATTCATTGAGCAACAAGAGTAAAATCCATACTTACTACATACTTGACAGTGTTAGATCAGTAATTTTGAGTAAATTAAAATTTGTAAATAGTACCTTTTTAACCGCACAGCGCAAAATCGAATGGCTGTTATATTTGATTTTGTCTATGTAACCGAGTGAATATAATTCTTCAGAATACTCTTTAGTTCGTTCAGAATCGAATGAAATAGTGTTCAATCGAAAATATACTGTATTTTTATATCAATTAATGACGAAAATAGCAGACCGTAATGCGGACATGCATACATGTCCTCTGTACTCAGCGGTCACAAAACGTGGACAGTCTCACATGTCCTCGGTACATGAGGGGTTTGGGTAGTTTATAAATGCGAACCATTAGTTCTAAGTTATAACTAACTTAAAATCAGGTCCAACAAATTATAATATAGTTAGTGTTTTATAGTAAACTATTTACAGAAATATTATACTAAGATATCCTTTTATACTTAAATGACAGTCCATCGCTACCCCAAAATGAATGTGTCTCTCAGTACGTAGTACTATTATTTATTCTCTGCTTTCGGTAACTTTCAAACTGCATCAGACAGCTTAGAGAAAAGTCTCTTAGAATACTTTTTGTACATTAGTTTCACCACTTATTCCACATTCTTTAACTTTTCATTTTCAGGAACACGTTTTATATCTTAGTTATCTACAAAAAAACCTTTATTAAAATGTAAAAGCTGGCATCAAAGCAAAAAAAAAGAATAAAATATTTTACATTCTTAAGTCTGTGCTAAGATATAGGATATAGAAAAAATAAATCCTGACTTTCTCTTAAATTTTATTTTTATCCTTTTGAGTGGTCTAAGGAATATCTCAATCTTAATGTCGTTTTAGTAGTTATATTAATAATTACCCTTAGGGGTAGGATTTTTCTCTCTTATATCGTCGAAGATATCGCGTAACATACATACGAAAAATATAACATAGAGTCGAATTGTAAACCCCTTCATTTTTTTAACGTTATCTACGGAGGATTTGGTACTCTAAACTCGATGTACTCGCCATTGATATTAATGCATTTTCAGTCCAATAGCTTGAAAACGTTTTCCAATGTCTGTTTAACATCGTTTTGTTGTTGTATAGGTTTCGTACTCTGACTATGTACTAGGGTAACCATCGTAATACTACTGTACAAACACTTCAGCACTTCGATATTCTGACTGTTGATTTGGCACCGCTGAACTATATCATCGCTTTAATTTTGACATAATTACGGAGTAGTAAATTCTGACAGCAAAGTCACTAATGAAAAAGGCTTAATATCGCATAACAGAACGAATGACCGATCTGAATGTGTTTGCCTATAATAATATAATATAAATAATATACAATATCAATTATTGAATTTCGCTACTATTGTATTATATTGTATGAGGCAATCTATGCGAGAGGCCTGTGTTCAGAAGTGTAGTTTAATAGGCTGTAAACGTAACGGTAGAAAAGTTCGATAGTTAGTTAGATAATATTAATAATGTTATGTAGGTGATGTAATATAATGTAATGAATGATATGTCATTGTGTCATATAAATCAAATTTTTTGTGTAATATACATTATTTCGCATACTTTACGTCTAAATATAGAAGAACTTAATATATAATATTAAAACACCTTTGTTGATGCTTGTATTCGCAAATAAAGGTTTGATTGATTGACTAACTTCTGTTTAAATTACTTATAGTTGTGTTTTTAGTGTAGATACTAAAGTTTTTGTTTTAACCCAGATTGATTGGGAGACTGGAAATCGTCAAGTATGTACGTGTGCGAGACTATTATTTTAAATTTGCTTCTATTTATATCAATATCAAGTACAAATCCATTTATAATATATGTTTATTTTGTCACATAAAAACAAAGTAACAGATATTAAATGAACTATGTCATATCTTTAGAAATTAAATATTTCCAAAAAAAAAAAAACAAGTATTTACAGACGCTCAAACGAGGTAATATTTTGATAACGTATTTACTTTCTGGTTGTTTTTTATCACGGTTAATGTTGGTACATTTACGTATATATAAAGGCTTTTATGTTATTTCGGTCCTCTTATCTAACTTAGAATAAAGATTGTTTTGTTACTTACTTGTAAATGAAATATTAGGTATTGTAATATTTTAAGGTTAAGGTTAAGGTTTTCGGCAAACTATAAATTTCATGTATGTCAATTAATTTCACAGCACTGTAATTCGTCAACATTGAATTTGTTATCTATGTTCAGCCATTTAAAGCCATCTAGTAAGTGGAAATTAGAATATTATTGAAAACAAAAATGTTATGTGCTTTGATTCGTTAAGGTTAAGACGTTTAATTTGAAGCTAACCGTTCAAGTATTATATTTTAAATTTTAGGTACACATTTCTACACAATAAAAATGAAATTAAATTCATGGTAGAAAATTTACAATATTATAATATTGTAGTTATGATTATACAAAGTGAGTTTTTTTTTAATATTTAGGCTAATATAACATATTGAGTAGGTACATTGGGTTGGCGATTATAAAATATTCCTAAAAGAATAACATTGCGTTTTACAATTTAAGAGTTTTATTTAAGAGTTTTGATTTAAGAATATTTAGCAATGTCTTTTTTACTTAATTCTGCAGCTTAATTAAACGAAATTAACCTAACAAATATTTAACGTAAAATTTGACAATTAAATAATATTTTTACAATATTTGCGGAGTTACATTTGAAATAACGCCCTGGTAATTACAATTTACACACAAATTACTGCGACACAGAATTTATGTCATTATAATATGTACCAAGTGTAAGAGACACTTGGTACATATTATAATA